AGTTATATTTGTATGTATATGTATTTACATATATACATACAAATATTTAAAAAGTATTTGTTTATATGTAACTTATATAATTATGAGTGTACATACATAGTATAGTTTTTAATATATTAGTGTATGTTACATAAAGTAAGTATAACCGAAAATGTATAGCTAATTTTCACGGTTTAAATTTAATTTTCTTGATTAAGTAAATGTTTCACAATAAAAATTTCATTCTTTATGGGTTAAATCTATTTTTGCACAAAGATTTATTTTTTTTTCGTTATACAAACTATTACATTTTACTCGTTTTCTACATGAATTGTGTATATACTTATTATGACTATATGTAACGTATAACATATTCTACAATAATATATTATCATAATGTATTCAAACGTGTGAATAAAGTAAAGCATTATATTAAAGAAAAGAGTGCCTTAACTGCTTGATTCATCGGTAATATTCTGCTAAATAACAAAAATAGAGAAAGACAGAGAAAAGTTTTTAATAAAGAAAACATCAATTAACGGAATACCAGAGAAGTCTTAATTACTGAGTAATTCTATAATCATTTTATCTGTTCGAAACTAAACTACGGAACAATTACAGAAGACAAATCAAAACAATTGTTTGCTGCAATTATAAAATAAAAAATCAATTGTAAATTTGTCAGATATTAAAGTCGACTTTTTTATTTGCAGTGGAGATAGAGACGTTTTTGTAACAGTTTATAAACTTACTTTTTGCGAACAAACACGTATTGTATAGAAAACGCGCATTGTATCGTTATTTATAAGTAGCAGGTTAAGCAACTTATAGAAAAGTAAAAAGCATTTTAAATAATCTTTTATACTCCCATGGTTGAGATACCATTGATTATTCGGATCAATGTCACATTACCACGCGTAATGAATTTTTCGCATGTTGTATGACTTTTTCTGAAATTAAAGTCAGTTTTACTCATCATACAAATAGACGTAGTCGATACCAACAATCAGTTTTGCGAGTGATTTTGTTGCAAGAGAAATACAAGGGCGCGGTAAAATCGTACCTCATTGTTATAAACATATAAAACACAGACATTGCGCTCGCGTATGCTTAAAAGCTTGTGTTTATACGTGCATGCACGCACGCAATGCGTTTGCACTTATTTTACAATAAACGATCAAAGTCTTCTTTTGTAACTCTTGTTGAGATTTTGCCATTGTCGTTCTTGTTGAGATGCTATTGCGGCATGCGTTTTGTCTGCGCTATGATTCGTAAACACGCGCGTTGTGAATTTCAGAATGTAAAAGTGTTGCCCACACGCAAAGTGGGAAGATAAAAGATTTACCAGGAAAAAGAGTACATATTTCTATATTACGAAATAAATTTCTGTAAGCGCAATTATGGCACGTAAAAATTGTGGCGTCCGAAATCGCGTCAATCAAGACTGCCGCTCGCGGTAGTGAAAAAACCTGATAGAGAATTAACGCACAGTGTTTAGAGTTTTGACTGTGAAGCGGTAGAAGGAATGCGCACACCAGCAGCAAGTTCTTTCAGCAAAAATTCTCATTAAGCATGTGCAAAGACACCTCAGTTTTTAATTGTCCGATCATTTTTTACATTCTGATGGTTAATAAACCGTTATTTGCGGATGCTGAATTTGCAAACACACAAAAAACAGTTAGGTATAAAGGCGGCAACACACAAAACATTATATGATTTAGGATATGAATAAATGTTACAAAAACTACAATTATAAGTAATAACAATTCTGTTACGATATTTCAAAATACATCAGCATCATCGTTTACAGGACACTCATGACACTCTCATAAACACAGTCGCACAAACACACCTTGTTTTCGTTTTTGTTCTCAAAGCAGTGTACAATACGAAAGTCTCAGTTGCTATTTGACTTTCCACGGCTATATATCATTGCTTTCTATCAAAGAGTTCATACAAACCGTTGTTGAAGATTAGAAAGAAACGCAAGAACAAANAGACTACAAGACACACAAGACTTATAGGAAAAGTGAAATCCTTAAATTCTGTTCACCCACCGATTTAATATGGATACAAATAGCGTAGCATATTTACAAACCGTGCAAGATATTGCACCTTCAAGTGATGTGGCATCGTTGGTGCAGTATGATACTAACACAACTCGTTATAGATGCCGAGTAAGACGTACTTTGAACACATTTAATTTTATACATATAAGATTTAATTGATTTTAATGTGATCATCATTGCATGAATTTATATTCCTATGATATATACGCTTCATGTGTACACTCACACACACACATATATGTATATATATATTTTTTTTCTTTTTTCTCTAGAAGTGTAATAGCATTTTTTATCGTGTTAAAGACTGGGCATTACATAATTTTACGTATCATTTGCAACCTAAATATATGTGTACTCATTGTGACTTCAGATATCTGTACGACATAAAAGACTTTGTGTGTCATATGCTAAGCGCACATGCTATTAACTATTTTTGTTGTTACGTAAGTTTGTTAAAGATATTTATAAACCTGCGCATCACATTTTTATAGAATGTCATCTTCACATTGGTTTATTTTCAAGATATGTGGAAGCTTGTATTGTAACCAGGATGTTTTCTTGCTACACATGCGCGACTATCATGTATCATATTTCCCGGATTGTTACGGTGGTCGATACTTTTATACATGTCGTAAATGTACACAACGGCGGTAAGAATAAATTAAGAAAATAGTATCAAAAAGAAAANTGTTAATGTGATGAAGACAAAGTGAATTTGCGTTATTTGGAATGATCAGATGTAATCAAATTGTAGTATAGTTCTTTTAACCGTAATTTTTAATCTAAGCATCGCTTTGACAATAGCCAAAAAAAGTGTGAATTAAGTTCTTCTATAAGTTGTAAACTAAAATGTACACCATATTGGAAAAAAGGGAAACAATATATTGCACGAAACCAACACTAACGTAGAGATAATCAATGTTTTCATTTTAGAGTATCTCATTCGCGTTTCATATTGTATTCTCTACATTTTTTATTACTTTTGCAACAGTAAACTTTCTTTATATTGCCCTTTTTTTATAATATATGTTTCTAAGACGTATGATCAACATCGAAGAGTTACTTTATCATCACAGAACCAGACATGTTAAGCTCATCAGGTTTTGCTACGTAAGTTTCTTAGAAATAGAATTTTATAGAACTAGTTCAACATTACACTCACAAATAATACATTACAAATGATACATTCTTTTTAAGATATGCGGTAAAATCGTACATAGAGACATACAGCACCATTTGACTCGCCATTTTATCAGGAAATTGCGCAAATGTCCACTAGGAAATTGTAATGAAACATGTCTTACATTGATCGATCTCAGGGAGCATGTAAGAGCGAATCATCCCACAATATTACTATGTGAAAGATGTTTTACGATTCGCAGATGTTACTTCTCACAGAAATTTCTTCAAGACCATATTCGACTAGAACATGCTGATCAATTAGAATTGTTGTAAATACAGTCAACGGATATCCATGCTTATATATATGTACAAACGAATCAAATTTTAATTGCAAATATGACTTAAGATACCACGTAGTACAATTTATAGATCTTTCTGTACATAATAAGTGTGTTTTACGATATTTGGCATGTAAATAAGATAAAAGTGACATTATTAATGTATAGTAGGGGAGACTGGGGCTGATTGTGACACGAGTAAAAAGTTACAAGCTTTGATTAGTGATAAAAAATAAGTGNTACATTAAAGCTAAAAAAAGACAAACGCGACAACCGTCACGCGTCCCACGCGTCAGTAACATCATCGTAGTTGCAATTATTTTTCATCGCTAATGTAAGGTTGTAACTTTTTACCCGTGTCACAACCAGCCCCAGTCTCCCCTATTTTTGATAAGTATGCATTTGTGTTAGAATCGGTAGATATAAATGGTGGAAAAAAATAATCTTTTCTGCAAAATTAAACATATAAAATAAAGTGTTGTATGTAACTTATAGGTTTTAGAATGCTATATATATATATATATATATATATATATACACACAATATATATATATATATATATATATTGTATATATATATATATAGTTACACATTTGTATGTATATGTATTTACATATATACATACAAATATTTAAAAAGTATTTGTTTATATGTAACATATATAATTATGAGTGTACATACAGAATATAGTTTTCAATATATATGCACAATAGTAAAGGTTTCCTTTGTTTTTTAATATTTTTGTTTTAATAGCATGTAGTTTTTATATATTTTTTCAAGTAACATATTATTATCTAATATCTAAANTGAAATAATNTTGTATGTCACGTAAAATAATTGTAACAACACAGGTAAAGCAACTTTCCACGGTTTAAAGTCGCTTTTCTTGATTAAGTAAATTTTACATTTGAAAATTTCATTTTATATGTTTTGAAATTATTTTAAATCAAAGAATTATTTTTTTCTTTGTTGTACACACTTCTACAGTGTACTCGTTTTCCACATGAATTGTATATACTTATTATGACTATATGTAACGTATAACATATTCTACAATAATATATTATCATAATGTATTCAAAANTGTGAATAAAGTTAAGCATTATAGTAAAAAGAAGTGCTTAAGATACTTGATTCAACATCAATATTCTGGTTAGTAGAAAAGAAAGAAAAAAAGACACACACAGAGAAGAATTTTGACTTCAGAAAACATCAATTAACGGAATAGCAGATAAGTCTTAATTTCTGATTAATGCTATAAATATTTTATTTGTTCAGAACTACGGGACAATTATAGAAGACAATTCAAAGCAAATGTTTGCGGCAATTATAAAATAAAGAATCAATTGTAAGTTTGTCGGATTTTAAAATTGACTTTTTTATTTGCAGTGGAGAGAGAGACGTTTTTGTAACAGTTTATAAACTTACTTTTTGCGATCAAACACTTATTGTATAGAAAACGCGCATTGTATCGTTATTTATAAGTAGCAGTTTAAGCAATTTATAGAAAAGTAAAAAGAATTATAAACAATCTCTGAAACTCTTCCATGTTTGAGATACTATTGATTAGTCTGATCACTGTCACATTAACACGCGTAATGAATTTGTCGCAGAAATTTGTTATAAAATTTCTTCTGAAATTAATGTTGATTTCACACATGCCGATACCAAAACTCAGTTTTGCGGTTGATCTTATTGCAAGAGGAGTACAAGGGCGCGTTATGATCGTACATCATCGTTGATATAAAACACAGGCATTGCGCTCTCGCGAATGCTTAAAAATACGTGCATCGAAAAAATTATATTCTTGTAAGTAGAAGATTTTATACTTAAAAAATCTTCTTAAAGATTTTAGATGATATTCTTCTGACATTAAGAATATATTCTTTATTTAAGAATATAGTCTTTTTTGATAGTGAGATATATATGTTTTTCTATAGAAGCTTTTTATATTCTAATCAGTATATATTCTTATCAATATTACTATTTAGAGGATTTTTCTCTTAAAATAAGAAACTCTTCTTGGCGCCTATTTTAGTATAAAATATACTTAAAGTAAGTGGGATATTCTCTAAACAAGAATACAATTTTTCCGGTGTGTTTATACATATATGCACGCTCCCGCAATGCGTTTGCAGTTAGTTGTTATTTTACAATAAACAAACCTAGTCCTTTTCGTTGGTAACTCTTCTCAATATCTTGACATTTTTGGTTTTGTTGAGCAGCTATTTGTCATACGTTTTGTTTGCGCAAAGATTTGTAACGCGCGAGTTGTAAGTTTCATAATTTAAAAACGCTGTCCTTAGTCAAAGTTTAAACATAAAAGATTTACCAGAAAAATCAGTATACGTTTCTATATTACAAATCAAATTTCTGTACGCGCAATTACCGCACGTGGAAATCGTCGCGTCCGAAATTGCGTCACTCAAGACTACCGCTCCCTGTAGTGAGAAAACCTGGTAGGGATTTTACGCCAGTGTTCACAGTTTTGACTCTGTAGCGGTAGAAGGAATGCGCACAACATCAGCGAGTTCTTGCATCAAATACTCTCATTAAGCATGCGCAAAGACATGCTCTGTTTCAAATTGTTCGTCCACTTTTCTACATTCTGATGGTCAAGAAACCGCTAGTTCTCGATAATAAATTTGCAAACACACAAAACACAGCTAGCTATAAAAGCGAAAAACACAAAACATAAAAATTACGTTTTGAATAAATTTTACAAGAACTGAAAATATGAGTACTAACATTTCGGTTACGATATTTCAAAATACAT